GCTTTTTTATTTTTGACCGCTGACAAGTGAGTGACATTGAAACGGGTTGCTGACTGTGTGAGACAAAATGAGAGATAGGAAAACACTGTGAGAGAAATGGAAACCATTTTTCATCTCCTTTCTAAATAATACGAAATGCTGATAAGATATTAAGAAAACAGGAAAAGACTTAACAAAATGAACTTGTCTCACGAGCTTATCTAAAGCCTTTTACTTAACTGGTAATTAGGATTCATCTTTTTTTCATCTCTAATTGAGATGTTTATCTCACTAATTAAGATTTCAACAATTATTTTTTTATTTAGGCTACGTTTGTTTATTGTCAACAATATAAATACCTGTCTAGATGTAACACTTCTCTTACTGCTAATTGTACCATTGCGGACTGAAGCAGTACTTAATAGTAAAGAGGACAAACAAAGGCGTCAGCATTGTTCTCAGGCCCCAAAAGTACTCCCAAAAAGTGTTCCCTCGTTGGTAGCTCAAACTGACATCTCCAGTAGTTTTGTACTTGGCTGCAATCAGCTGAGGGCTGACTTTCTTCAAGTCCCAAGCTAGGCCCACCTTTTGGTAGAAGTCAATCATCACAGTGCCCGGGTTGAAGACGTCCCATGCGCCCAGCTCACTAGCAGAGTAGTCCCAAGGAAATGTGTGATGATAGTTGTGGAAACCTAGAGTAAAATCGTGCAATTATTTAAATTTTTTCATCATTAGCAGTTTTAAGCATTATCACCTTCACCCATGAGCCAGTTTCGGATGGACGCTTCCACCGGGACTGCCTTCTTATCGTACGGCCTGGTGCCGTACATGTGCGCCCAGGAGTTGACCAGCCACGTCACGTTGAGCGAGAGGACGTAGCGGAGGATGACGACGCCGAAGATCGAGTGGAACCAGGTCTCATTCCAGCAGTAGACGGGCACAGCCGCCGGAAGGTAGCCCCAGAAAAGGAACACCAGCGGAACGTAGAAACGGCGCTGAAACATCACAATCGGGTCGGCTTTCAGGTCGCTCAGATCGACGGTTTTGCCTTTTCGAATGACTTCTGGGTGCTTTCGGACCATCAGCCAGCCCTGCCGAAGAGAAAGGCAAAAAGTTTACAAACTCATTCATCGCAACTGCTACTGAAAACAACAACTCTCCACTGACCATGTGACTGAAGAAGAAGCCTCGGCTGGAGTTGTGCGGATCGGCGTCAGTGTCGCTCCACTTGTGGTGGACTCGGTGATCTCGACACCACTCGTAGAGGTCGTTCTGCAGAGCCATGACGTGCAACAGCGACAGCACCAGTCGCAGCGACCAATGGGCTTTGTAGCACCGGTGGGCCCACAACCGGTGAGCGCCTGAGCCGGCAATAGAAAGAAGTTAAAGTTCATTCTTTCTAATCGTAGAATTTTTTATCGTCTTTTTTCCTAGTAAATAAATGTCGGGTACCTGTTTGCACACCCACCGTAGCAAGAAGAAGGACCGCATAGCCCCACCACATGGTCCACAGTTTGGCGCTGGGAATGAGGCAGAAGGCGTAGATGCCGATGATGTGCATCACCAGCAAGGCGATTATGTTCCGCCACACTAGCTCCCGCTTGTACGGCGTCGGCTTAAAGTCCCGTTCTGGCACGGCATCGAGGTCTAGATCGGGCTCAGGATGTTCCGACGAGAAGAGCGGAGTTGATGTTGTTGACTCTAGAAACTCATCATTTTCATCTTTTTCTAAGGTGGGGTGCCTTTTTGTGACTATGCTATCTGCTGTCATGATGGTAGTGTTAGTAATGATGGTAGTCTTTATTGCAGTAGTTTTTTGTTTTTGGTTGTCAAAAAAAGAAGCAAACTAGAAAATAAAATTGAGTTTTGAAAACACTCAAACAAAACAAAAGGTTCACTTTCAATAACTGAAAATTAAAAATCACTGTACAGTGGAGCGCTGCTCGTATTTAAGCAAATGCGCAAATAAGGTAATGGTTGTTTAGCTGTGACTTACTTTGTTGTGACTTGGTTTGTCTGTCTATCTGGTTAATGCTCAACCACGATCTTGCTTCTGCTAATACTTCTGCCTAATTTGTTCGATCACTGAGCCGTAAACTTGGTTACTCTTGGCTGATGTTGTTGTTGTCGTCGTCGCCTTTGCCGCCACTGTCGTTGAAGAAAAGGAAATTAGAGCACTAAAGAAAGTTTCGACAATAATTAGAAGTCGATAAACAAAAAGAAAAAATTATCATCTCTTTTCTCTTTTTTTTCTCAGCAGTAGTAGTGTCTCTTGGGTTTCTTCTTGTTAGTGTCTCACTCTCCTCCTCTTCATCCTCATCCACTCTTTTCTCGGGCTTATCCCGATAATTAAGGTTGACAATTTGTCGTTTGTTTGTGCTCAGTGTCAGCTCAGTAGCAAGTGCAAGAGCAAGCACTCATTTGCCTTTGCTTTTATCGTTTTAATTGCCGACACTTCTCCCTCTCTCTCTCTTTTTTTGCTAATTGTCTTTAAATTTCCCTGAATTTTTCCTGTTTTTTCATTATTGACCGGCACCTAACTCTTTCATACCCAAGAGCAGTGTGCACTTTTTTATTACACCAGTTTTATATGCAAAAACAGTAAAGGAAAAAGTGATGCGCTTTTTCGAGGAAGGGCTTTTTTCGTTCTTATTTTGCAGTCATATTTCACCACGGTGATTGCCTCATCATCTTTGTCCTGTCCTGCCCTGCCTTGCCACCACCTGTTGAATTGCGCTGGAAACCTTGCCATCGGCTGCTATGCTGATGTGGTCGATGTTATGCTATGCTATGCATTTTACTTTCTTTTTTATTATGCTGCTTTTAAATTATTATTATCATTACTACTAATACTTCTGAGGGCCATCCTACAACACTACAACGACTACCATTTCTTTTGTTTGTTGTTGTTGTTTATTCATTCATTACATTTCATTTGGTATTATTTGACAAAACATAACGATGATGAGAAAGGTTAATCTAGCGTGTAATAATAATAAGCAAAAAATTGTACTAAAAAAATAAGATGACCACAGTTTTGTTGTTTTTAGCTGCGTGCCAATGATTCAGCAACCGCAGATGTGAATTGTCTATGATTTAGCCACTGTCAATTTTGTGAGTTCTTTTTGCCTGTGGATGCTTTTTAGCACAAGCCTAAAAAACAGCTCTGCCATTGACGAGGCATGATTTATGCTTGTGATTTATGCCCATTACACTGGCACCAAATTGAAAGTGTGAAATTTTTATTTTTTCTTAATCAAATATCTCACCATTTTGCGAGGTATTTAGAAGAAAGTCTCAGTGGCAGCTACGGCATCAGTTTAAGCAATTTCACCAAATCAACTAGGAGAAAAATACCCCAAAGCGTAAACAGCGATAACTTCATAATAGAAAAAAATTGAAAAGTTGATATGAAGCTACTGCTACTATTGCCCTTTCTCCAGCAAAATTATCGCCTGTTTCCTCATATGTAACGGCAGCGCATAAAAGCAGTCATATGGTGAAATTCTTTTTTTTCTTGATCACTCTTCACTTTTCACTTTAAACGCAGCACGGTCGCAGTTTGGCCGTCCTCCTTCCTCAATGTCATTACCATTTTGTTCCTCTCAAGTAGTCGATGATTATCACTAGCAGGAGCTCTGTCACCACCACTATCACCACCGCTTCTACTAGGGGCTGATTACACTTCAGCATTTGACTTCTTTCCTTTTGACAATACTTTAGCAGCAGCAGCAGTAATCTAATTGCTCCTTCTTGGTGAAAGAAGTTTAATTGCGTTTTTAAAAGAGAGAGAGCGAGAGCTGTAAGCAAAGCCGCTCGATCTTCAATCAAAACAGCGCTTTTCACTCAGCTGATCAATCACGCCGCCTCGACTTTATTGTTGTAGTCGCAGTCGCAGTTTCGACCTTCATATTTTGGACATCTAAATAAAACACACGTAATGATGATGTCAAAAAATCGTGGCTAAATAAAGAAAAAACAGATGATCGACCTTTGGCTAATGTGGTCAATATGTTATCATGAAAAAAGAAAAAGACAAAAATTACTGTCTATTTTCGACTTAAGGAAACTTTACATTGGAAATCAGTTTCCATGGCAAAAAATAATTTGATTTTTTGGTCGGTATTCGTGTGTGACTTTGAAGTATGTTTGTTTCATTGTTTACCTGTCATAAACTCTAACTGTTTTGCTAACAACTTTGGTGTGCTTCACTTCACTTTGTTGGTGACAAAAAAGAAAAAAAACATTGGGTGTTAAAAGATCAAGTCAAGATTGTTGTCTTTTTGTTTCTTGTAAACAAAACAATCTTCAGTAATCAATTTCTAAATATTATACTTTGCATAATTATTAACGGACTAAGCAGCGACGGCCAAATTGTTTTGTTGTTGTTTTGCCAAAAAGGTGATTTCACCAAAGCGTAAAAAATATATTGCTCAAGAAAACAATAAAATTCTTTTCTTTCTTCTTTCTTCCGTCTTGTTCTCATTTGCTATTTTTATTTTTTTACTTTTTTCCATGCTTCATTCAAAAGCACGCAGATAAGTAATCGATCTCTTTCACACTTGCTTTCTTTACAGGCAGTTTTTCTAGCTGCTGGCTAAAAAAA